TATCAAAATTCCACATTACAATCTGTGTCTAACTACTCAACCTTACTCATTATGCTCCGCATATTTACAAATAGTCATCGAGTTATACAACACAGAAACAGACCCTTTGGTCCAACATGTCCAGGCCAACCAGATATCCTAAACTGATCATTTCCTATTTGCCAGCGTGTGGGCCATATTTCCCCTAAACCCTTCCTATTCATGTATCCATCCAGATGCTTTTTAAATGTTGTAACTGTACCCGTTCCAATACTTCCTCTGCATCTCATTCCATATATGCACCACCCTCTGCATGAAAATGTTGCCCCTTAGGTACCTTTTAAATCTTTCCCCTCTCACCTTAAACCTATGCCTTCTAGTTTTGGACTCCCCCACCCTGGGAAAAAGACCTTAGCTATTCATCCTATCATAGAACATAGAACATAGAACAGTACAGCACAGTACAGGGCCTTCGGCCCACGATGTTGTGCCGACCTATTATCCTAGTCTAAGATCAAACTAACCTGCATACCCTACATTTTACTATCATCCATGTGCCTACCCAAGAGTCGCTTAAATGTCCCGAATGTATCTGTCTCCACTGGCAGTGCATTCCACACACCCACCACTCTCTGTGTAAAGAACCTACCTCTGACACCTTCCCTATACCTTCCTCCACTCACCTTAAAATTATGCCCCCTCGTGATAGTCATTTTCGCCCTGGGAAAAGGTCTCTGGCTATCTACTCTATCTATGCCTCTCATAATCTTATACACCTCTATCAAGTCACCTCTCATCCTTCTTCGCTCCAATGAGAAAAGCCCTAGCTCCCTTAACCTTTCCTCATAAGACCTGCCCTCCAGTACAGGCAGCATCCTGGTAAATCTCCTCTGCACCCTCTCTAAAGCTTCTACATCCTTCCTATAATGAGGCAACCAGAACTTAACAGAATATTCCAAGTGTGGCCTAACCAGGTTTTATAGAGCTGCGGCATAACCTCGCGGCTCTTAAACTCAATCTCCCTGCCAATGAAAGCCAATACATCATACACCTTCTTAACAACCCTATCAACTTGGGTGGCAACTTTGAGGGATCTATGGACGTGGACCCCAAGATCCCTCTGTTCCTCCACATTGCCAAGAATCCTACCATTAACCCTGTATTCTGCATTCAAATTTGACCTTCCAAAATGAATCACTTCACTCTTTTCCGGGTAAAATTCCATCTGCTGCTTCTTTGCCCAGCTCTGCATTTTATCAATATCCCATTGCAACCTACAACAGCCCTCCACACTATCCATGACTCCACCAACCTTCATGTCATCAGCTAACTTACTAACCCACCCTTCTGCTTCCTCATCCAAGTCATTTATAAAGATTACAAAGAGCAGAGGTCCCAGAACAGATCCCTGCGGAACACCACTGGTTACCAACCTCCAGGCTGAATACTTTCCATCTACTACCACCCTCTGGCTTCTATTGGGCAGCCAATTCTGTATCCAGACAGCCAAATTTCCATGAATCGCATGCCTCCTTAATTTCTGAATAAACCTACCATGGGAAACCTTATCAAATGCCTTGCTTTAAATCCATATACACCACATCCACTGCTCTGCCTTCATCAATGTGTTTTGTCACATCCTCAAAGAATTCAATACGCCTTATGAGGCATGACCTGCCCCTCACAAAGCCATGCTGACTATCTCTAATCAAACTCTGTTTTTCCAAATAATCATAAATACTGTCTCTCAGGATCCTCTCCAATAATTTGCCCATCACAGAAGTAAGACTGACTGGTTTGTAATTCCAGGGTTATCCCTATTCCCTTCTTAAACAAAGGAATAACAGTTGCCACCATCTATCCAGGCCTCTCATGATTTTATAAACCTCTATAAGGTCACCCCTCAACCTCTGATGCTCCAGAGACAAGAGCCCCAGCCTATTCAGCTTCTTCCTACAGCTCAAACCCTCTAACCCTGGCAACATCCTTGTAAATCTTTTCTGAACCCTTTCAAGTTTCACAACATCCTTCCTACAGCAGGGAGACCACAATTGAACGCAGTATTCTAAAAGTGTCACTGTCTTGTACAGCTGCAACATGACATCTCAACTCCTGTACTCAATGCACTAACCAATGAAGGCAAGCGCGCCAAATGCCTTCTTCACCACCCTGTTACGACATTTCATGTACTCATCCAAGTACTGCATATGTTTGTGTAAAAATCGAATTTTTAGACTGCTTTTAAAATGAAATTTATGGGGTCAACTATTACATATATACTACTTTTGAGGGGCTGAAATTCATGCTACAGTCCAAAATATCATTAGCAGAAGCCCAATTGATCTCTAAACGAACAAAGAAAAAAAAAGAATTACGGTAATTACTATAATATCTTATCTTCTAGTTCAGCAGGCAGCTTTTGCGCAATCTTAGTTCTCTGCCGAAGTGCTAAGTCATGCCTTCTCATGAACCTTGTACCCCATCCAGCACATGCCTTAAAATCCGAAATTCCATCCTTCTTTGTTTTATGCATGGATTTGGATGGCTACACGACTAACACATTTTCCATTTTCACGATTTTCAAGTACCCACTCAGCAACTTTTATCTCCAATTGTGGCCACTTGCTATGTCTACCTCTGTTGACACAATTTCGTTTTGGCATTGTCTGAAGTTGGTTCAATATCTTTCCCCAGTCTGTCACAACTTTCTCCAAAACATAAAATTCTCTTGGTGCTTCACCGTTATTTTTGTACTCTACAACTTCAATAACTTTCAGTTTAAATGCTGCTGTATATTTTTTGTTGTTCTCTGGAGGGCATTTTTAAACAAAATGATGAAGAAATTTCAAAACACATAATAGCACAAAAAAGAGTTCATTTCCTCATCGTAACATTTATGTACAGGATAAATTACTCACAAATGTTGATCTGTTGTCTGTGAAGAACTGCGGTCAACTTTTACATGAGATATTTGGAAAATTCTCATTTTTTTGGCTAAAAATAGGGGGTCGATTTTTACACGAGATCAACTTTTTACTCGAGTATATATGGTACTTTTTAAAGGTTGTAAGGTTTCTGACCTCAACTATCATTCCATGCAATGTTTTCCAACATTCCACCACCTACGGGTGAAAATATTTTTCCTTAAATCTCCTCTAAACCTCCAGCCTTTCAACTTAAAATTATACACTGCTGTTACTGACCCTTCAAATGAGGGGAACAGCTGCTTTCTATATACCCTGTCCATGACCCTCAATCCTATAAACTTCAGTCACTTAGAAATAGTAAGAACTGCCGATGCTGGAGTCAGAGATAACACTCTGAACTGGAGGAACACAGCAGGCCAGGCAGCTTCAGAGTAGCAGGAAAGTTGGCATTTTGGGTTGGGACCCTTCTTCAGAAATGGGGAGGAGGAAGGGAGCTCAGAAGTAAATAGAGTGAGGAGACATGGGACTGGGGAAGGTAGGTGGGATGGTGATCGGTGAATGCAGGTAGGGAGTGGTGGGGATTGGCCAGTGAGGAGGGGCAGATAGGTGGGAGAGAAGATGGACAGGTTGTGTCAGGTCAAGGAGGCGAGGATGAGAGGGAGGGTTGGACATGAGATGAGGCTGTGGGTAGGGAGATTTTGAAACTGAGAAAACCCACGTTTAGGCTTTTGGGCTGTAGGCTCCTGAGATGTAATATGAGGTGCTTTATTTCAAAGGGAGTATTAAAATAGGGTGATCTTGCTAAAACTATACAAGGCAGTAATCAGTCCACAGCTGGGATGCTGTGAATAGTTCTGGCCCCCATATCTAAGGAACAATGTACTGGCATTGAGGGAAGTGCAGAGAAGATTCATGCACCTGCTCCTACATCTTGTGGTCTAAGTATTGCGGCCAATCCTCTGAATTGCATTTTGGGAAATATATCATGGTCTTTGAGAGAATGCGCGGGAGATTTGCGAGGATGATGCTAGTTATGACTTTTTTTAAGAAAAAAAGGCATGAGATAAAATTGAGCATCAAAATGCACATTTTAGGAAAGATTGTTGTCTGCTGTGTTATGAGGCGGCACGGTGGCTCAGTGGTTAGCACTGCTGCCCCACAACACCAGGGACCTGGGTTCAATTCTACCCTCGGGCAACTGTCTGTGTGGAGTTTGCACATTCTCCCCATGTCTGCCCGGGTTTCCTCTGGGTGCTCTGGTTTCCTCCCATAGTCCAAAGATGTGCAGGCTAGGTGGATTGGTCATACTAAATTGCCCGTAGTGTTCAGAGATGTATAGATTGGATGGGTCTGGGTTGGATGCTCTGAGGGTTGATGTGGACTTGTTGGGCCGAAGGGCCTGTTTTCACACTGTAGGGATTCTATGAACTATGAGAGACAAGGAACGCTGGAATTGTTCTCCTTGGTACAGAAAAGGTTAAAGGTTGATTTCATGGAGGTCTTCAAAACTGTAAAGGATTTTGATGGAACAAGTAACAAGGAAAGTATTCAACCTGTAACCTGCTTGGGAGTCCTGTAGCTCTCCGATTTCCCTGCTTTTCAGCTGAACAAATTTGAAGAATGAGGATAAATTATTCCCCATGCAGAAATTCCAACCACCAAAATACCTTGTTTCATTTTTATTTGTAAACCACAGTGTCTGCACACTTAAATTGCCAAAAGTGTTTAAACGCTTAAGATTTTTCACTCATAAATAGGCACATGCGCCACATCATTACCCTTTGTAGTTCCAGGAATTCATTCACATTGAGGATGAGGATAATCCTAGAAATACACGAGTAAGGTATTTCACTAAAGTTTAGATATTGCTCTTCTAACTTGTATCCAGTGTACCTTGTTTCTAAAAGATTTTGATTATTCTGGTTTTAGAAATCTTGTTACTGTCTTTGAGCAATCAGCGTGAACGTTGGAAAGGAGTAAGACATACCTTTGATCCAGTTTACACGATTAACTTGCCCCTTACTGCTTCCATCTTCTGTGTCCTCCAACTAAAATTAACAAATTCAGTTGTTTAACCCTTTTTATGTTTTGTAGGAGAAATGCTACCTAAAAGAAGAGAAGGTTCGCCTAACTAAGGAACTTGCCTGTATAGTATCGGAAAGAAACAAAATTGCTGGAGAGCTTGATACCCTAAAATCTCAAGAAAAATGTTTGAAGGAAAAACTAGTTAGACTGGAGTCAGCATTAGAGAAGGTAGCTGTACTAATTTTAATTTTCCATTAATTATTTGAGACATGTCTTGAATTTATCACCTCAGATAATAGCAGTGCTGGGGATTAATTTACCTTAAATAAATTTTGCCTTTTAATGCTTGCTTCTGATTTGAGTTGAGACATCTCAGCATACACTAGTGGACAGGTAAAGCAGACCTTGCTACTGTCTAGACTGAGCTGGAATTGAATCCAGGTGATGTTAGGGTGCTAGCCCACAGCACCACTCATTTTATGCTCCACTGTTAAGTATACGGAAATGGAAACTATTTGATAGGCCACAAGCCATAAACGGAAGAGGGGAAATAAATGAAATATCTGTTCCATTATGAGATTTTTCTGAAGATCTTCCTTTCACATTATCTAAAAGATCTGTTGTCACCACTATTCTTTTCCTAAAGGTGTTCCCGTTATGTAGAGATTGTAACGAGGTCAGCCAGGTGGACATCATAGAATAGGAGTTTCGTGATTGGGGCAGTTAATCTGCCCCAATCAGGGAGACCTGGCCGACAAATAAAAAGAGGAGTGTCACACATCCTGACGCTCTAAGAGCTGCCTCTGAGGGAGCTAGATCACTGTCAAGTATTTTCCATGTGTAAACAAAGGGTGACTTGGTGATGGGTTACTGGCCTCTGTGGAATTATTTCTCATTAATTCCGTTAAGTGATGCTCTGCCATCAGACTAGTTGACCTTTCCAAAGATGCCTATTTTACAAGTTTTTTGCTTCAAAATGTATTTTCATCAGCCATTGATAGTTTGAATTTTTTTTTTGTTTTTAGGGACAGTGTTTCAAACAGTTAACATTGCCTGGTCTTTTGATACTTGTTTTGTGAAAGAAATTTTTTGTTGCTACATTTTGCAGTCAGATATTTTATACCTGTAAATTAGAAGTACCTAAGGGACTTGTATTAGGTGTCAAGATGTAGAGCTGGATGAACACAGCAGGCCAAGCAGCATC